GCCCCTCCAGACCTGTCCCCATATCCCCTCGACCTCCTCCCCCTCCATCTTCTGACCCTCAGGGCTGAACCAGTCCACCCCAACCCAATCCTGTCCCGTTCTTATCTGTCCCTGCCCCTCTGTCCCATCTCTTTTCTGTCCCATTATTTCCTTATTCCTGCCCCTCGTCTGTTCTGCTGTATCTCCCTGTCTCTGTCCCTCGGGCCCCCTCCCTATATCTCTCTCTCCCTTCCCGGTGTCCCTCTGGCTTCCTCTCTTGCTGTGTGCCTCTGCCCCTCTTCTCCGTCCTCCTCTCCCCAGCCCCCAACAAGAGGCTGCTTCGACCTTGCTGGAGGCTCTGCAGGCTGTCCTGGGCTTTGGCGTCTGGGATGGGAGCGGCAGTGGCGGTGGGGACACGGGCGCCCGGGAGCAGCAGCAGCGGGCACCACGTGGCCAGGCAGGCAGGGCAGCTGGGAGGGTGCGAGCTGTGGGTGGTCAGGGGCCCCGCCCTTTGTCCCCTCCATCCCCACCCTCGCCCCTGTACTCCCCTCTCTATCCCCTCCCCCTTCCACGTGCCCGGTGCCTCACACACAGGTCTGTCACTCTTCACCTGCCTGCAGGCCTGCCCACAGGCCTGCCGTGTCTTCCGGTCACTGGCCTCTGGCCCCCCAAGGACTCTTAGATCTAAACAGTTCTCGCCTGAGGAGTGGCAGCTGCACCTTTTTGAGCCCAAGGCAAGCTCCACTGCTGACCGCACCCCTGGCCCGAGCCACGTCCTGTCCACTGTTACGCCCACCCCACCACTCTACAAAGACCCTGCCCCCCAGGACAAAGCCACGCCCTATCACAGCAGGCCACGCCCCTAAGCCAGAGCCACACCTCTATTTGTTGAGCAGTCCTGCCCCAGAATGGAGCCCCCAACGCCCTTGTGTTTGGAGTTTTGGGGTTCTCCAGTGTTAGCATCCCAGAGCCCTGCGCAGCTCTCTCCTGTTCACACTGCCCTGACTTCTAGCTCCTCAGCCTTCCTGAATTCTCAACTCGGGGAGGCCACCCAGCTCTGCTTCGGGTGCTCTTCCCTGCACTGTGGCCTCGGGGCCACTTTGTTTCTCCTCTCTCAGGGATCACCGTCCTGCCTGATGTCCAGTGTCAGAACGCCATGGTTTCATTTGTTTTGTCCCATTTTTCAGTTATGTAGTCAGGAGAGGAAATCTGCTTCCTGTTACTCCATCATGGTTGAACATGGACGATGAGGCATCTGCTTGCTATCTTTAGGGTGACTGCCTCTTTAGAGAAGCCTTCGAAAATTTATCTTTGATATTCTTAAACTTCACTTTAATGACATGGATATCTCAGTATCTTTCCTGTTTGGAGCTCCAACTGTTCTTTTAATTTGACATCATATTGGGTTTTTCACTTATATAAAATGGTCACTCCCCTCCCTCCGTGTAGCTCCTCCCCTTCATTTGTGGGTGTCTTGCTGAAATCTCTACTTCTCCTTTTTTCACATCACATTTTCTTTACTCTCTAAAGCCTTCTGCAAAAGCTCTTTGCTACACAGTGTCTCCCACTCATTAACCACTGGCTCATATAATATACTGAATTTTTATTGTTGACACTAAGTATTTCCCTTCTTTTGAACTGTTTGCCTCCACATCGCTTTATCAATACCCTTTTTTCTTTGAGGATATTTATTTAGCGCAGGTGGTTCTGTTTGTCTTTCTTCTGTGGCTAAAGTCCTCAGGGTTGTTTTTTTTTTTTGCCAGAACTCACTTTCTCCTGGGAGTTCCTGCACTTTTGACCGGAGGAAAGGCCAGTCCTAGCCCCGCTTCTCAGTGTGAGTTTATGGAGGACACAGCTGCCTCAGCAGGAACACAGCCAAGCAGGGATGGACCACCTGAGCCTGTCAACCCCTCCCCGACATCGTGCTACAGAAGGACTCCACTTCTTTAAAATCATCACTAAAATATCAAACTTCTTCTGACACAGGTCTCAACACCCTATATTTGTTTCATCTACTCCCCCCACAGGATTGGGGGTTCAGTGCTGGCTTTCCCCTCCCACTGATCAATCAGTCAGGCAGATTCCCCTGGGCTAACGTGTGGAGAGAACATTTGTGAAGGTGCGCTCGGCAGATGCCATGATATTTGCACCAGTTTCTTCACTGTCCCGACTCCACATCTTCCTCCACTGAGCACAGCCATCCCTTCTTCCCTCGGAGGATTCCTGACACTGTTTCCACTCCATACCCTTTGCTCACAAGTCAGCATTCAATGGCAGTTCACCAATCCGGCAGGAACTACAAGGGGGTTGATTTCTTTAATGTGAAAGAAAATTTATTTTTTTTGTTATAATTACCACTGTGGCGACTGGGGAGGGTTACTTTTTTCTTTGTGGCCTTCATATAACTTAATTTGGGGAACACTGTGACGCTGTCATTGCCATGTTTCCCCTCTTTACAGGGATCAGGTGGGGGACTTCCCTGGTGGCGCAGTGGTTAAGAATCCACCTGCCAACGCAGGAGGCACAGACTCGAGCCCTGGTCAGGGAAGATCCCACATGCCGCGGAGTAACTAAGCCCGTACGCCACAACTATTGAGTCTGCGCTCTAGAGCCCACAAGCCCCAACTACTGAGCCCACGTACCACAACTACTGAAGCCCGTGCGCCTAGAGCCTGTGCTCCGCAACAAGAGAAGCCACAGCAATGAGAAGCCTGTGCACCGCAATGAAGAGTAGCCCCCAATCGCTGCAACTAGAGAAAGCCTGCACGCATCAACGAAGACCCAACACAGCCAAAAATAAAAATAAATGAAATTTAAAATATATATTAAAAAAACAACTAAGTACATAGTCCACACCATCAAATGTCATAATTCCTCACTGTTGTGCCATAAACCCAGCCAGCACCCCCCATTCCCCGTGCTGAGTGCTCTTACATTTTATACTGCAAGGTCTTAACTATATCCTTCACTCACTAACATTTGTGCTGTTAACTGCCTATTTTAAATTTGCTGAAAGGATAACTTGAAAACTTAAAAAAATTTTTTATCAAATCAAACTCACCGTTATACTTAACCTCAAAGAAAGCTCACCTCTGTGACAGTGTGATGGTTAAGATGCATCCCAAATTCAGGAATGTAAAAAACAATTCGCCTGAGAAAATATGAAAGGTTTACACACATCAGTTCTTTATTGAAGAGGCAGTCCAGACCTATTTATATGTGCCAGATGCATTTATATATGCAGAATGGTAGGATGACAACATATGTAATGGCCCTGTCACCTTTTCAAATATTTACTGAAAATATACTTTATACTAAGCTTTACGGTCAGTGTAGGAAATCTTAGTAGTTGCCATTAAAACTAAGAGTATTTCCTGCACAAAAATTATGCAAAATCTACCAGTTAATTCCTGTTATGCAGCATACTCATATACATCTAGAAAAATATGGCAAGAGTGCTGAGCGACAAAAATGGTAGACACTTGTGATTTTTAACAACATTTTATGTAAGTGTAATATACATGCAGAAAAACACACAAAGCTTGAGTGCACAGAACACTCAGATATTCAGCACCTAGATTTAGAAAACAATTATTACCAGCACCAGATGAATGCTCCTTGTCAGCCTTGGCCAAGGCTAACCGCTATCCTGATTTCTAACTGCATAGCCAAGTTTTACCTGTTCTTATACTTTACCTGTTTGCTTTTGTGTCTAGATTCCTTCATTTAACATTCTTCGTGAAATTGAGCTGCTATTGCCTGTGCTTACTACCCATTCATTCTCCTTGCCTTAGAGTGTTCTGTGGCGGAAACACACCACTGACGTTCAAAGTTCTACTGCATAGGTAGGTGCCTTCAGAGTTGTTTTTTGAAGTTTTAGGTCATGAAAATTCTAGGACATGTCCCTTGGTGGACATATACATGCACAGTGGACACATTCATGCATGTCTGCTAGGTTTGGGTTTGTTAAAAGGGTACAAACACAGGTTTGCTCTAAGTGCCAGCTTTCCAAAATGGTTCTATCAATGGGCAATACCAACAGGAGTGTAGGCAAGTTCCTGTTACGTTCTTGCCAAATCTTGCTTTTTCATGCTTTTCATTTTAACCATTTCAGAGGGTGGCAGTAGTGCCACACAGGGTTTTAAATCCGCCTTTTCCAAGATTATTAATAAAATTAACATACCTTTTCATATGTTTACTGGCCATGTGAATAGCCTCTTTTATGAAGTGGACGTCCAAGTCTTTTGCCCATTTTTTTTTTCTTGTAGATTTGTAGGTGTTTTTATTTTAGATCAGGGGTCAGCAACTGCTGGCCAAATCCTGTCCTCCACCAGTATCTGTGAATAAAGTCTTATTGGGACATAGCCACGTTCATTCGTTTTTGTCTTATTTATGGCTTTCACACTACGACAGCAAAGTTGAGTAGTCGTGAGTGAAACTGTGTAGCCCACAAAGCCATATATATATATATATATATATATATATATATATATATATTTTTTTTTTTGGTGGTACACGGGTCTCTTACTGTTGTGGCCTCTCCCGTTGCGGAGCACAGGCTCCGGACGCGCAGGCTCAGCGGCCATGGCTCACGGGCCCAGCCGCTCTGCAGCATGTGGGATCCTCCCGGACCGGGGCACGAACCCGTGTCCCCTGCATCGGCAGGTGGACTCTCAACAACTGCACCATCAGGGAAGCCCAAAGCCCCAAATATTAATACTATCTGGCCCCTCCCCAAAAACGTTTACCAAGCCCTCTTCTGCACTTGATTCTGCTTTCATGTATTTGAGTTGCAAATATCTTCTCCCCTCTGTGGTCTGCCTGTTCACTTTCTCAATGGTGGCTTTTTGAGAAACAGAAGTTCTTTAATGTAATATACTCAAATTAACAAGTTTTATTTTATGATTCAGTGCTTTTTGGGTCTTAAGAAAACTGCTTGCTGTAAGGTTATAGTCTTCTTATAGCTTTATTATTTCACATTTCATACTTAGAACTGCACTCCACCTCGATTGATTTTTCTATTTTCTATTAAATTATGAAATTTAAATGATGACAGAGCATTTAGTGGAAAGAACATCCTTTCCCACATTACGATGCATTATTACCTTCACCAAAAGTCAGGTGACTGAATTACATTTGGGTGTTTCTGGAATCTTTATTCTGTTCCACTGGTCAATTTGTTTATCTTTGTGCCATTACCACACTATCATAATTCCTATGGCTTTGTAACAGTTCTTGATATCTAGCACTATAAGTTCTCTAGTTCTGTCTATTCTAGAAAATAGCTTTGACTATTATTGGTCTTCTGAATTTTCACATGAATCTGAGAATTTTCAGTTATAAAAACTTGCTAGGATTTTGATTAAGATTGCATTGAATATATGAATTAATTTGGGGAAAACTGACATCTTGTTAAGATTGTCTTGCAATCCATGAACAGGATATATCCCTCTTACTGTTCTGTAATTTTTTTTCCCCCTGGATACAATTCTTGAAAATACAGTGTTAGGTAATTTTCCCCCCAGGCACTTAAGGATTTCTGATATCACTGTAAGTGACATTGTTTTAAAACTTTTCATTTTCTGTGTTCGTTGCTGGTATATTAAAAACCAATTTTTGCATAATGACCTTGTATGTGGAGATTCTGCTCAATTCTAATTATCTGAATATTCCCTAGAATTTCCTATGTATAAAAGCATATCATCTGCAAATAAAAGTTTTACTTCTTCTAATCCTTAAGCCTTTTCATTCTTTTGCTTCCCCTACTTTCCTGGCTAGGTCCTTCTACACAATACTGAATAAAATTAGTCATAGCAGATAACCTTGTCTCTTTTTTTGATCTTGGGAGAAAACTTTCAATATTTCACCATTTGATATGCTGTTTGTTGTAGTATAAGATACTCTTTAGCCAATAAAGGAAGTTCCTTTCTATCCATAGTTTGCTAAGAACACAAATGGATATTGATTTCACCACGCTTCCTGCATACTAGACTACTTTTCTTCAATGTGATATATTACAGTGATTTTTTTTTTTTCTTATTAAAACACCCTCACATTCCTGGAGTAAGATCCATTTGATCACTGTTTTACCTTTTTTCCAGAAATGGTCTGTTGTGCTAACCTAGGATTTGGTCATGTGACCACTATAAACGAGTTACTGGTGATCATAATGAAATTAGCATGACTGGTTTAGTTTACTCAGGATTTACCCTCCGTGTCTTGTGAATAGTAGATACCTAAACTCTTCCAGCAAGTAAAGAGAGGGAGGACACTGAGGTTAATCAACAAAAAATGTCTGCTAGAAGCTTGCATTAATTTGTTCCAAAATACTGGGACTAAGAGACAATACACAAAATAATGACACCGTATTCATATCAAATAAAAGCACAGGTAAAATTTCTGAATTACAAAATAGTGGCATACTGCACGCTCAAACCTATGGGTTAAAAAACAAGAGTGGTAGGAGAGCTGGGCCTATGTTATAGAGCATGAGCAGTACAGCCATCCTTCACTGAACAGACTAGATTCCAAATCATCTATGCATAGTTTATGAAAATAGTATTTTTAAGTCTTTTTTGCTCAAATGCAGTTGGAAACTTTACAAAAATCACTGGTTCCTCTCTTGATGAAACACTCATTAAAAACCATTTGTAAATGCCTCTAAAGAACAGAAAACTATGTATTTAACTATTCTATACCTATCAAACATCTCACCAACAATATGTCCTACATTAGTACATTTTGCCATCTTAATACTCAAATAAGAATACTGCCTTTTCACAAATTATTCAAATCCCAACTGGCAGAGTTGCATAGAATTAATCACATTTTGGAAACGTGACAGAAACCGCCATATACATATTTAATGCTACGATCCTCATAATCAACTCCAGAAGATTTTAAAACTTCATTTTCTGCAATGAAGGTTTATTCAGAGCTGATAGCTTCTGATGTCATTCCTTAAAACATCTGATTTTATATCAGAAATATGGCTTTTAGTATAACAATTTCCATGACAATGTATTTTCCACATTCATCACTTTGACAGGTTTCGCCTTGGTATGATTCCCTGATATGTGAATACAATTGGAATCCAAAATAAATATTAAATATTTATAGAGTTTCACTCTTGTATAAACTGTCTAGTGTCCAATGAGTTGTAGGGTCTTGCTGAAGGCTTTGCTTCTTGTTGCAGTTTTAGGGATTCTTCTCTATGAAAATTCAGATTAGAATAAATCTAACCTCTAAATGCTTTTCCTCATTAAGAAACATGAACTCTCAGACAGTGATATCTGACTCCCAACTGACTTCCCATACTCATTATGTGCAGAGGGTTTTCTAAAATGAGATCTGACTTCAGAGGAGCATTCCCATGTCAAGTACGTTCATATTCCCTCTCCTGTGAATTCTCTGATGGCTATTGAAGGCTGACCTGTGATGGAACTTTTTCCCACATTCATTACATTCATAGGGCTTCTCTCCTGAATGAGTTCTATAATGCACAGTGAGGTATGACTTCTGAGAAAAGACTTTCCCACATTCGTTACATTCATAGGGCTTCTCTCCTGAATGGCTTCTATAGTGTACGGTGAGGTTTGACATCCGAGAGAAAACTTTCCCACACTTACTACATTCATAGGGCTTCTCTCCTGAATGAATTCTATGATGTATAGTGAGGTAAGACTTCTGAGAGAAGAACTTCCCACATTCATAACACTCGTAGGGTTTCTCTCCTGTGTGGACTCTTTGATGTCTAAAGAGGGATGAGTTATGGGAGAAGGTTTTCCCACATTCGTTACATCCGTAGGGCTTCTCTTCTGAATGACTTCTATAATGTATAGTATAGTATGACAGCTCAGAGAACAATTTCCCGCATATGTTACATTCATAGGACTTTTCCCCTTTGGGAAGTGACTGGTGCCCATCAAAGGCTGAATTTTCAAGTAAGGTTTTCCCACATTCACTACATTCATAGGGCTTCTCTCCTAAGTGAGTTGTGTGATGGTTGGTGAGATATGAGAACTTTCCACACTCACTACATTCGTGGGGTTTCTCATCTGTGTGTACTTTCCGATGTCTAATGAAGGCTGAGTTTAGATTGAAGGTTTTGCCACATTCATTGCATTCATAGGGCTTCTCTTCTAAATGACTTCTGTAATGGATAGTGAGGTATGACACCCGAGAAAAGAATTTCCCACATTCACTACACTGATAGGGTTTCTCTCCTGTGTGTGTTCTCTGATGTGTAATAAGGGTGGATTTTCGGTAATAGGATTTCCCACATTCATTACACTTATAAAGTTTCTCTCCCGTGTGCGTTCTCTGATGGTCACTGAGGGCTGACTTGCGGGAGAAGGATTTGCCACATTCGTTACATGGATACGGTCTCTCTCCTGAATGGTTTCTCTGGTGTAAGGTGAGATGTGTCTTTTGGCAGAAGGTTTTCCCACATTCATTACATTCATAGGGTTTCTCTCCTGAGTGAGTCCTCAGGTGTTGAGTGAGGTGTAACTTCTGACAGAAGGTTTTTCCGCACTCATTGCATTTATAGGGCTTCTCCTCTAAGTGTGATCTCCGATGTACGGTGAGGGTTCCTTTTTGGCTGAAGGATTTCCCACATACGTTACATTCGTAAGGTTTCTCTCCTGTGTGAGCCCTCTGGTGTATAATGAATTTTGACTTTTTACAGAAGGATTTCCCACACTCACTGCATTCAAAGGGCTTCAATTCCATCTGTGATCTCTGGTATACATTAAAACTTGACATCTGGATGAAGTCTGATCCAGAATCATTCCAATCATAGGGCTTCTCCCCCATATAAGCTCTCTTATGAGTAATGAAAACAGCTTCATTGTCTAAGGCTTCTGTGCATTCATTATATTCAAAGGGTTTCTCCAAAATACTAATTTTCTGAATACTTTCTTCATTTTGAGAAAAGGCTTCCCCATTTTGATGAAATTCATAGAGTTTCTCTCCATGAAATGTTTTCCCACATTCACTACACTCATCAGGTTTCTCTCTTGCATAGCTTCCATCACTAATAATTAATTCTGAAGTAGATCCCAAAGTCTTTCCACATGAGACACAATTATGAGACATTAGGTTTGAAGGAACAAGGCTTATTTCCATGTTATAAGTTTTATCAAATGCAACCTCTCTCTCCTCAGTCAGGGTTCTGCTGTTGATAGAAACAGCTTGCCTTGAACATTCGTCTTTATTTTCTTGGGCTCTCTCCATCAGGTCATCAACTTTCCAGACTTCTTCTAAAAAGGAATAAAATTAAACAAACCTTGTGAATCTGAACATACCAGTTATAGAATGGGAGCAGTACTCAAGGGCCTACTGTGGGCTTGACTCTGGCTTTAGGGTCAATCTCCACAAATAAAATTATCAGTATATAATCCTCTTTCCCCCTTGATTTGTCATATAAGACAAACAGACAGACATGGGGGGTGGGGGAGGGATGGGGAAAGGATGAGAGCAGGATAGGACTCAGCAGTAGAAGAAAGAGTAAATTCACACTGAACACAAGTACCTTTGTTACTTTACAAATATGTTCAAAACTTTGGTAGGAAACGTGAAATAAACCCAAGAAATGATGAGCAGAGGACAAAGTCACTGAAGGGGTCCCAGATCGAGGCTGAAACGGGAGGACTGAGAGCAAGTGGGATTCGTGGGAAAGCAAGAACAATTACTGGATGTATAATCCTAGGAAATATTCAAGTATGGATTATGTTTGGGAGAAACAGATCACAATGTATATTAAACTATATAATATCACTTCATACCAAGATTAGCATGGTAACATGCTCACTAACCTAGACCCTTCCAAAATCTTTGCCTTTCTCTTCTGCACATAAATCCAAATAAACATTCTAAATGCTCCAATTTCCTCATGTTTAGAGACAGTCCCACAACCAGGGCTCCAACTCCCTTGCCCTGACTTACACTGACCTATAAGGAGAGACCCAGGCACATAAATGTCTGTAAGAAACCTAAGTAGACCAATCTCTCCAGTAAGATCAGCTCTCTGGAGAGTCCTGTGGTCTCCTTTAACACTAAGTGACTTGTCTACAACACAGTGCACAGTGGCTACAAGCACCAGGACCCCAACTCCAATGCGTCATAGGCTGGGGGACCTGGGCAAGTTACTTAACTGTGATGCAGTTTTGCTCACCTGAAATGTGGACAAGAGCTCCTAACACATAGGGCTGGGCAAAGACTATTGATACATTAGTTAGCACATGTTAATGCTTAGAACAGTGACACAAAACAAATGCTCAGTAAGTTTTTCCGTGAATTTTCTTTCAATCTGCTGACTTAAATTTACCAAAACCAGTCATGTTCCTGACATAATACTATAGCTTAAGTCTGAATACAAACAAGAGTTCCCATACTCTCAGGTTTCATTTGGTGTAAAATCTTCAATATCAGATTTCTAAAGTAGCCCCTAAAATATCAACTTTTATTTCCATGTATTTTACATGTTTTTGGATCTTTTGAACTGTTTAGTTGCTCTCATCCACATTCAACACAACACTAACAGTTCTGGGCTCAGAAATCTACAACATCCCTGTGCCCAAATACCAGCAGAAAAAAAAAAAGTTATCCTTTACCAGTAAAATTTTCATTACCTAGATTCACAATATATATTCAAACTAGCATTGTACTCATCTTCCAAAAACACCTTCTGCTCCAGGAAGCCTGGGCACTGCCCTGCTCACGCCCAACCACAAGTCTGCACATGCTCTTGTTCACTCAACCTGACTTCCAGCCTGGTATGTACTCAAAACCTAGCTATGTTTCAGGAGAAGCCTTAAAGTATTTATAAAGTCTCTTTCCAACTTTTTGAAGCTCTCCTTCCCTTAAATTTTAAAATAGCCTTAACACAAAGTTATATATCATGTATTTGATTATGAACATTCCGTTTGAAAGCTAATTTTAAACTAGTTCATGCAGCTGTGCTCTCCTTTCCTAACTCAAACCTCTGCTTGTCAAAAGTATGACCACACTTGCTATTTTTTTAAATCTGTCCAACAGAAATTAAAGTAGTAGTTTCTAATCTGAATCAAATGGGGTGCTTTCAGGTTAGACTCTAACCCCCAGCAGTTTTTTCAGAATCCGCAGTTCAGAATAAATTCTCTCTCAAAAGAAGCTCATCAGTGAGCAAATGGAGTATCTTCTACATGTTACACAGAAAAGCAGAGTACTAAGACCCTTCCTTTTTGTAGGGTTATAATTCAGGTCGAGAAAGGAGCTTAAGCGACAAACACTTGCCATTACACATCAGAGTGCACAATCCTGTGCTAACAACCACTACGTGGAGGGGCCATGAAGAGAAAGGAAAGACTGGATGAAGAGCGAGAAATGAGGGAAACTTCTAGCAGGAGCTGAACTTTCAAGGTCAAATTTAAAGGATAAAGTTCTAGAGATTCTGTTGGACAACAATGTGAATACAGTTAACACCACTAAACTGTTCACTTAAAAATGGTTAAAATGGTAAATTTTATGGTTTTTTTTTTTTCTCCAAACTACAACTAAGGAAGGAAAGAAGGGAGAACAGAGGGAAAGAAGATGTATCATCTGGGAGAGCAGAGGGACAACTAAGCAGGGACAACTCTGCTTAGTTTGAATGGAAGACATTTAGAAATCTAGACTAAATGGCATTTGACAAGAGTTGGGGGAAACAGGACATTCATTTTGATATGTAACATTGCACCACACTGGGGGGGATTGAGGAGAACTTAAATTCTACTTAAGAAGAAACAGAATAGTTATAGGCTTATCTTCTGAGCCTAGTGATAAGATCAACTGTGTGTTTCAAATGAACAGATTTTGCAATTTCCAAATAGGATTCACTGTAATCCAGGTACGTATGAGAAAATACTGTTTACACCAATGTCAAAAGAAACTGAGAATATGCAGAAAAATTTTAAGGCATTTCATAAAAGACAAAAACAGGAACAAGGCAGAAAAGACAAGTACAACGTAATAAATTAAGGGACTTGGGGAAGATGCACAGAATTCGCGGTTTGGAAAGGTCAGTTTATCATCAGATGTGCTAAGGAAGAAGGAAGGGGACGATCCTTCCTGTGCTATTGTTCTGTCAGGTAAGAGTTAAAGAGGCTACAGGTTACAGATGTTGGGTATCAATTTGGATGAGCAACATAAATAAAAAAGTCTTCAAAGTTGAGGCTAGATGAACGCTTTTATGGGATACAAAGAAGACTAAAGAAGTGGAAGACAGGTCCTAGGGGCTCCTGAGGAGGCCAGAGAAGAATGGGAATTCACTGATGAGATAAACTCTTCCTGAACATCTGCTGCCGACACAGGGATGGGCAGACAGACGGGACAGGAAGGAGCATTTGGGAAAGAGGATGGCCCAACTCGTGCTGTGTCACAGAGGATGGGCTTCAGGGACAGTGACCAGTGCACCCACGGCGAGGAGGGGACCACGCTGGGTGTCTGAGGGCCTAGAGGGGGGCATGAAACTGGGGTGGAACACAAACCGGAGGCGTTTCACAGCAAGGAAGGAAAGAAAATGGAAGATAAAAAGAATGACCAGGAAAGTCTCCAGTTAACTTTTCTGTCAGACTTTTGAGAGCCTGAAAACAAAGGAATTCTGTGATAATAGGGAGGTTAGTCACGGACAGTATGAGAGGAAGAGGGAGTGAATGCACCCTCAGTCCTAGAAGACACGGAAATCCTGTAAAATGTAAGGCCGGTGCAAAATCAGAAAGGGAGCGTGCACATACATGGTGGAGGGCAAGTGCTATTGGTGCCAGGAGGTGAGATTTAGGGCATTTGTGGTCACTCCAGAGGACCGGAGCGACCATTTACAAATTCACACTCCACCACCTCACCTGGGTGAAACTGCCGTGGGAACTCGCCATCTGCTACCCAAGGCTCCTCTCCCTGCTCCAACTTGAGGATCACGTTCGGTTTGGTGCTGTCGTACCCTGTGGATGAGAAAGAGCCAACTTGGACCTGCTGCTCGGCTCTGGGTCTCTGAGTAGAAGGTGCTGCCTCAGAGGCCAAAAAATAAAGCGTCTATTTTGCACCTAATCAAAATCAGAACCTTTTGATCGATAAGCAAATAAACAAATACTTTATCTGGTGCCCAGAAAAAAATTAAACAGTCTCATCACTGATTTCTTCGAAGTCAAGCATAAAATCCTTAAACTGGAAGCCCCTGCAGAGAAGCAACTCAGAAAGCAGGCTCTCCTCACCCACGGAGACCAGATGGCTGTAGTTCTCCAGCATCACATCCCTGTAGGTTGTCTTCTCATCAGGGTCCAGCTGCTGCCACTCCTCCTGAGTGAAGTCCACGGCCACGTCCGTGAATGACACTGGCCCCTGCAATGACACCGTGATGGGAACTGGGTGACGTGGAGAAGACTTATGGGAACAAGAGCTCACCCAGCTCACCGGGAAAGTCAACTATGGACCCTGATTGTTACAGATCGTGGGAGGAAAACAAGCCATATTAGAAACACACTGCCTTGGGGTTCCTTAATGTGTCAAACAAACGAACCAGCCAAAAAACCTCTCAAACCAAAAAGAAAGAGCTCCAATTTTGCAACTGAAGTATCTGAGTTCTGGGGACATAAGTTAATGAACCACCACTCCGGCTCTCACTCAAAGAGCTTACAGCCTGGCGAGGAGACACTGGCTAAGTGAACACGGACATTTCTCTCCTTGTTGCTCTCTTCAGCAGCCTCTGCTGGCTGGGCCCCCTCCCCCTCCCTCCTCATGCTGGCGCGGCCCAGGACTTGGGCCATCCCGGTTCAACTCTTTCATCCTCTGGCCCCTCCATTCTTACAGCCAGCTACCTGGACCCATCTGCTTGGCTAAGTTTTCTAGTACTTCCTTCAAGCGGTATCTCAAACATCACATTGTGGCAGCAATGAAAATCCGTTGCTTGAAAGACTGCCCGAGGTATTATCAGAGTGGCACATACAAGGTGGAGCACGGTCTAACACGAGAGAAGTAAACTACTTTAATTTTATGCTGGCAGACGAGGCTCCGCAGGCTCAGCTGGGTGTTCTACAGGATTCAGGGGAGAGAAGAGGACGCAGTGTAAAAAGTACCCATGGCAAAACCTGCAGCAGCGCCAATATTTAAGAGGTTGGCACAGGGCAGAGACCAAGAGGGCACTTTCTCGAGGGCAGCTTTTGGACAGGAAGAGCTGCCTCTAATTCAAGAGAGTAAACGAACATACGCAAGTATCGGGTTGGCCAAAATGTTCGCTCAGGAAACCCACACAAACGTTTTGGCCAACCCAATACTTTCCTGCCTCAAAAACAAGACAAAAACCCAAAAAGCCCAATTCAAAGAAATATAAAAGTAGTGTTCTCATAAGAGCACTGGAACACAGAAGTTACCAACAGCAGGAAAGTTTCTGAGGAAGTCCTTGATTTATCGAGTAGAGCAGATGAGAAACCAGGACCACGGAACACACTCACACAGGGGCAGAGGCGGGACTGCAGCAAAAGTGACAGCAGGCTCACCACCAGAGCCCTGGAAAATCTCCAGGCCCATCAAGGGGGCCTAGGGTTCCTGCAGCAGTAGAGTGACTGGTTGACAGAGGAATGACTCACACAATCGACCAAGCAGCTTGACAGGCTTCCTGTTCTCACTGCACAGAGCAGCCAGATCCACTCAGACTGTGTCGACAGCCCCTGGCCGTGGGCTCGGGGGACAGAGATGGAGCCGGGACCCCTGCAATGAGGGTGATCACACATTCACTGTCCAAACGGAAAACTGCTGTCTGGGACGAAGGATAAACCCGACAGGACACCAGGAAAGGAGGTGCAACCCAAGACTATGTCAGGCACGTCTAGACAAAAAGCCAACTGTTTCCATGTTGGACATGGACGTTTCTCCTGACGCAACTCTTAGAAGACTACTCTCACCATAAAGCACCTGAGCAACTTAACCTTGTCTGCCGACTTGCCACCAGTTCAAAATGCAGTGGTGCCCACAGGTTCTGTGCATCAGAAGACACAGTTGACAAAGAATAAGGGAGACCAAGGAATGGGAGAAAACATTTGCAAATCACGTATCTGGTAAGGGGTTGGTATCTAGAATATATATAAGGAAACCATAAACAAAATGAAAAGACAACCCTCAGAATGGGAGAAAATATTTGCAAATGAAGCAGCTGACAAGGGATTAAAAGCAGCTCATGCAGCTCAATATCAAAAAAACAAACAACCCAATCAAAAAATGGGTGGAAGAACACATGAAAACATGCTCAACATCACTAGTTATTAGAGAAATGCAAGTCAAAACTACAATGATCACCTCACACCAGTCAGAATGGCCATCATCAAAAAATCTACAAACAGTAAATGCTGGAGGGCTTCCCTGGTGGCACAGTGGTTAAGAATCTGCCTGTCAATGTAGGGGACACGGGTTCGAGCCCTGGGCCGGGAAGATCCCACATGCTGCAGAGCAACTAAGCCCGTACGCCACAACTACTGAGCCTGCGCTCTAGAGCTCACAAGCCACAACTACAGAATCCCGTGCACCTAGAGCCCGTGCTCCGCAAGAGAAGCTACCGCAACCAAGAATAGCCCCCATTCACCGCAACTAGAGAAAGCCTGCGCACAGCAATGAAGACCCAATGCAGCCAAAAATAAATAAATAAAATAAATTAAAAAAAAACAAAAATAAATGCTGGAGAGGATGTGGAGAAAAAGGAACCCTCTTACACTGTTGGTGGGAATGTAAATTGATACAGCCACTATGGAGAACAGTATGGAGGTTCCTTAAAAACTAAAAATAGAACTACCATATGACCCAGTAATCCCACTCCTGGGCATATACCTGGAGAAAACCATAATTCAAAAAGATACATGCACCCCAATGTTCATTGCAGCACTATTTACAACAGCCAGAACATTGAAGTAACCTAAATGTTCATCAACAGAGGAATGGATAAAGAAGATGTGGTACATATATACAATGGAATATTACTCAGCCATAAAAAGGAACAAAATTGTGCCATTTGCAGAGATGTGGATGGACCTAGAGACTGCCAGACAGAGTGAAGTCAGAAAGAGAAAAACAAGTATCATATGATATCACTTATATGTGGAATCTAGAAAAATGATACAGATGAACTTATTTGCAAAGCAGAAATAGAGACACAGAGGTAAAGGATGTATGGATACCAAGGGGGTAGGGGGCGATAAGATGAATTGGGAGGTTAGGATTGACACATATACACTACTATGTATAAAATATATAACTAATGAGAACCTACTGTATATCACAGGGAACTCTACTCAATGCTCTGTGGTAACCTAAATGGGAAGGAAATCCAAAAAACGGGGTATGTGTATACGTATAGCTGATTCACTTTGCTATACAGCTAAAACTAACACAACACTGTAAATTTATACTCCAATAAAAATTAATTAAAAAAAATTTAGAATATACAGAGAACTCCTAAAACTCAACAACAAAAACAACAGTTTTAAAACAAAGTGAAATAAATAAAATAAAATTTTGAAAAATGGGCAAAGCACTTGAATAGACATTTCTCCAAATAAGTTTTACAAATGACCAATAAGTATATGAAAAAGATGTTGAACATCACTAATAGGGAAATGAAAATCAAAACTATGAGATACCACCTCATACCCATTAGAACGGCTACTATAAAAAAAATGAGAAAATTACAAGTATTGGAGAAATTGGAACCCTTGTGCACTGTTAGTGAAAATGTAAAATGGTGCAGCTGCTGTGCAAAACAGCATGGTGGTTCCTCAAAAAATGAAAAACAGAATTAACATATGATCCAGCAATTCCACTTCTGGGTCTACACCCCCCAAATATGAAAGCGAAGACTTAAAGAGGTATCTGTATACCTAGGTTCACAGCAGCATTATTCACAATAGCTAAAATGTGGGAATAACCCAAGTGTCCATCGATGGACAAATGGTTAACAAAATGTAATATATATACACAGTGGAGTATGATTCAGCCTTAAAAAGGCAGGAAATTCTGACATCTGCTACCACATGAATGAATTTTAAGGACATTAAGCGGAGTGAAATGAGCTTAATGGAAGGACAAATACTGTAGGATTCCGCTTAGATGAGGTATTTAGTCAAAATACTAGAGACAGAGAGTAAAATGGTGGTTGCCATGGGCTGGGGAGGGAGAAATGGGAAGTTACTGTTTACTGGGGGCAGAGTGTCAGTTCTGGAAGATGAGAAACACTCTCGAGGTGGATGGTGGTGATGACTGCACAACATTATGAATGGCCTTAATACCACTCTACTGTACACTAAAAAATGGTTAGGATGGGTGGGAGGGAGACGCAAGAGGGAGGAGATATGGGGATATATGTATCCGTATAGCTGATTCATTTTGTTATAAAGCAGAAACTAACACACCCTTGTAAAGCAATTATACTACAATAAAGATGTTAAAGGAAAAAAAAGGTTAGGATACTAAATTTATGTTATGTGTATTTTACCACAATAAAAAAAAATGGAAGGAAAAAAAAAATGCAATGATGCCTCTCTAATTACACACCCCTACCCACTCCCTTACAGAGCTTCTGCAGCCATTCCCTCCACAAAGGAAAGAAGAATGAAATGGGGTCATGGGTTGAGTATGTTCACATTAGTTATTAGTAAATCTCTCAAAAAGTGAAATTTAAAAATTAAGAATCATCAGCTAATTGAGAAAACAACATAAATAAAGGATAAGCATCAGGATGAACAACTCAACAATGACTGAACCAAATTCACAAAGGAAACAACTTGCATTTGTGTCTACTGATTTATATTTTTTAATAAATTAAGCAGGATATTGCTTTCAGAAAATGAGAACATTCTGCTAAGAAAAAGCCACTGGAGAATACTTAGAAATTAAAGACTGGATTGTTGAATTTTTAAAAAATCCTCAAGTAAGAAGCTTGGATAATAAATGAGACATAGAATAGATAACTTAGGAAATCTCTCTGAAAACAAGAAATTGAAATGATGAAATTTTGAGATATTGAAGCCAGATCCAACAGATTCAACATTTTCAGAAAGAGATGATAGACGATGAACAAAAAATCATCAAAGGCAGAATGGAAAATGATTCCTGAGGTGAAGATCATAAAAATAAACAAACAAAACAAAACAAAACAAAACATCATCAAAAGGGACCATATAATCTGCAAAGAAAAATACTGGGGAAACAGATCAAGAAATTTCCTGATAAAACATCCAAAATTTAAAAATTAGAGGGAACTCCCTCTAATTGGTTGGGACTTCCCTCTGGTTGGGACTTGGCGCTTTTGCTACGGGGGCCTGGGTTCAATCCCTGGTTGGGGAGCTGGCATCTCGCAAGCTGCACAGCCAAAAAAAAAAGAAAAAGAAAAAGAAAAGGGGGAGGGGGGAATCCTAAAAAGTTACAGAGTGAGTGAAAAAAATACACTAGTT